TTCGATGGACTTTGCCATCACTGAGTGAATGTGTGTGAAAGGGTGAATGTAGTACGTAGTGTAAAAGCGCTTTGAGTGGTTGGAAGACTAGAAAGGCACTATGCAAGTACAGGTTCATTTACCATTTACTTGTTATTTATTTTTTAAGGGATTATCTTGTCAAGGTATTGTAAGTCGAACACTGCATTGCGACCAGGGAGAATATCATATACCTTAGCCAGTCGGGTTAGTGTGCTTCGGTATCTTTTGCAGATGTAGTGGCCTCAGGTGCTTGTGGAGATGCTTTGTCCCTGTGAATGTGTACAAAAGATCGATGGAGCCTCAGGATTGGGCTAATGTACAGCGAAAAAGCTGGGCGGGGCTCATTAATATGCATAACGATTTATACATTTTCATTGAGAAGAATACTAATAATAAAAACTGTGACTCAAAAAGTCGATGTATAAAATGGGAATATTTACTGAGTACCTGTCACCAAATCTACTGCTCAGGAGGTAAAAAAACTGCACACATTTTCTTTCATTTTACTTATTATTTATTTAAAAGAAAAAAATATTTTGTATAACTTGTTCTTTTCTATTTCTCTACTATGAAACCAGTGGAGTGCAATCTGCAACCGTCACCTTAGATGCCCACTAAATTCCTACACACTGGACACGCTTTAAACTTCAACTGAAGAATAAGACTTTAAAAATATAAAGACTTTGTGGTATTTTCTCATTGTTAACATTCCCTGTAACACTTAAAACCAACTGATGACTTTTAGGCTCGTTTGGGAGTTGATTGTGCCTCACCCCAAGACTGGTCGAGACAGACACCACCCTACCTATACTGAGGATCCTGTCCTAGTTTCTGCCCTTTTAACAGGCAGTTTTTCCTGCCCTTGTCGCCAAGGCTTGCTCTTAAGGTAGAGTACTGGGATTTGGCGTCTCTGATCAGTAATGTTATAAAGAGTTAGTCTAGACCCAGTCTGCTTCCTATTGAAAGTGTTTCACTGAATAACTTCTGTTATGGAAATGAGGCGTATACAAATAAATTAATTGAATGAAGCCTGGAGAAAGTTGATCGCAGGAGATTGGTGAAA